TTGTCATGGATTACTGCATTTAATTATTTCATGACACTCTGAGTTAAGTACTATACTGTTAGTCACTCTATTTTAGATTGGGGAAGAAAAGAGTCTTAAAGAGATTAAGAAAATAAGAGCTCATTAAGTGGCGGACTAGGGATTCGAACGTGCTGTGCCATCTACACTTGTCAGTGCTACGGTTTCCCTCCGTTTTTTTACCACACAGATGTGTTTACAGTGAAGGTCACTTGCTCCCCAGAGACCAGACAGGTGATTGAAAAGTTAAATCAGATGTAGGCAGTGGGGGCGGGGAGGGGACTACAGGTGGGGGAGAGGCCAAGGCCACAGACGGGAGGCCGCTCCTGCCGGTTGTTAGTGTGTGTGTGTGTGGGTGGGGGTGGGGAGGTGGAGGGAGGGCTCGATGCGGCCAATCTTTTATCTAATAAAGAGAAACCGTAAATGTGGAACGTTACGTGAAATTTCTCATTGAAGAATATGTTCTGTGGAGGGAACATAGAAAACAAACAACAAAGACAAACAGCCTGCAGCATCCGTCTAGAGGTACCAAACCGGAGTGCTCTAGGTGTCGTGTGAGGCGTATTAAGTGCTTGGCAGGGCCTGGCATGGAGCAAGCACCCAGAGTAAGGTATCGGTGCGAAGCTGCGCGGTGTGAGCTAAAAAGATGACTCTGGGGCCAGACTGCCTGGCTTAGAGTCCCCATTCATTGCCTCCAAGCTATGTCGCCTTGAGCCCATCTGTTACATGGCATACGGTATCTATTTCTTATTTGTTGTTAGGTTTCGCTAATGTATGAAGAGTACTTAGTAATGGCAACTGGAACATAAATACTTAGAACTCTTAAAGGCTGTATTATTATTGTTATGGTGTTATTATTTGTCACATGCACAGAAGCACCCCCACCCCTAGACTGTTGATGGGGAGCTCTGTGAGGCAGCCCCCGCGCGTTCTCACCTGGACCCACCCTCCCTCCGAGGGGCGACCTCAGCCACCCAGCGGTCCCCCTCCTCCCCGTGTCAGAGGCACATCGCATGGCCACCCCAGACTTTGCCAGGTCCCAGGGCTGCTCCACATTAGATTATTAACTTTGGACTTTTATTCCCCCGACATTATTTTTCGGCCTGTACATAGTTGAACCCTCTCTTTCTTTCTAGAGCTATCTGTCCTTTCCCCTCATTATTTCCTCCCCTGACAGGACAAAACTTCATGTACTTTATCACAGATATCATTAAATCTCTGCAATTGTTCATTTATCCATATTTCGAGAGTCCGTAAGCTTCCTAAGATCAGGTAACTTGTCAGTTACCTGGTTTACTCTCAACTCTGCGCACAGTGGGGCACGGAGCTCGTGGTGTTGAATGAATGGCTTCTGTACTTGAACTTGCACACATCGATTCAGCAGATCCGCATCCGTTAGAAGTTCTAGCCGGCATCTTATAATCATACTCATTGTAGCACTTACGTTTTGAAACAATTTATTGATGTTCTTCCTTACATGCTGGTACTTATATTTTTCTCTAATTCTCATGACAGACCTGCAAAGTAGATACTATCATCCAATGTGTTTTGTGTTGTTAGTACGTTTATTGAGGTGACTTCATGAGGTTAAACGATGAGCCCAAGATACACGGTTGACAAATGTTGGTACCAGGAGTGAAAAGTCCTGTTTCTCTAATTCTCATGACAGACCTGCAAAGTAGATATTATCATCCAATGTGTTTTTTTGTTGTTAGTACTTTTATTGAGGTGACTTCATGAGGTTAAACGATGATCCCAAAATACACGGTTGACAAATGTTGTACCAGGAGTGAAAAGTCCTGTTTCTCCAAAGCCTTGGCTTTTTCTAGGACTGATTGCCTGGTGAACAAAACTGGCGATCAATGTCCTGTTATCCAACTAAAACCCTTATACTTAACACATATTTCAAAAACTACTCTTACAAATAGGCATAAAATTTAAGGAAAATGTCAGTCTTCAAAGATGATTTAAAGATTATTTAATCCAGATTTTTAGTACATTTACTAGATGTAGCATAACTGGCACCCAGTAAATGAGTAGACAGGCATTTCAATATTTTATTAATAACAACGAATACACACTCGGTATCACCTTTAAATTCTGTCACTGCAGAGCAGGTGACCAGTCACACTTCTTATTAGTCTGCAAATTACAGCTTGGCAATGATGGAGCCAGTGCTGAGCTTGGCCAACAGGATGGGTTTCTTTGTAGAGAACAGACAAGTATTTGGTTTCATTTTCCTGACATTTATAAGGATCTGCAACTTACAGTTTTCTCTGGTTAGGAGAAAAATTTTTTTTTTTTTTAAAGGAAGAAATGGGATCTTTGATGGCTGACTAGTTATGGTGGACTAGTTACGTGTGGTTTATCTGAACTGCAGGGAGCTTTGTATACACAAGCAGAAAAATTGGAATCAGCCACGTGGGTGATTTTTTTTAAACATAATCTTATTTTTTTTCTGCAACAAGCCCCATGCCTTTCATGAGTCTTAACGGTAACCTTCTAGTTTTTTGTTGTCTTGGGGATTTATTCATAATTCCAACATTTCATCAACACTATTTAAGATTTTCATGCAGCAATAATGAGCCACCTCTCATACATAATGCACTAAGGTTTAATTGTTTAAATGTTTCATATTTAATATGATATGAGAAATTGTCAGGGAAGATGAATAGCCATATCTGTCATGGTGGTAAGGACAGGGAAACTGATGTCTGAAGTTTCGGCCTGCCCGGAGGACAAATTGAGAATCAGCTTGCACTCCAGGTTTTTTTTCTGTCTCCAAAGCAAATTATCTTCTTTACTACATATTGCCCTTGATCAGGATTTCCACCAACCACACTAGCCGTTAGAAAAATGAAAGCTCACTGGAAAATAGTGAACAATGGCTGAATGGAAAAAACATGGCAAAAATCTAATTTTCAGTTGCCAGAGCAAAGATTATCCGCGTAGGTCCACACGGAAATGACACAGGGTTGAACACAGAAGAGGCGTTGCTTTTGCCCAGGCATATATGTATCCGATTGTGTTCTTGTACAATAAAACGGATAATTTAAAATAGCCAGTGTTGTCACTTTTTCCCTCATTAGTGTGGAATATCAAATGGTGACTAAGTCATATCCCCAGCTTTTTTTCTCTTTTTCTGAAAAGTTGGCAGAAAAGTAAGGTTGTCCAAGATATGTAGACCATACATTGCTTTTAGAGTAACTGGAAATTAGATACGGAATTCATATTTGAAAAAGAAATAGCAGCAAGAGGCTGAAAGAAGCTCGTCCCTCTCCCTCCCCCTTGGGTCCTGTTAAAGTCAAGGTTAGAATGCCAGGAGGTGTGTTTCCTTCTGCGATGTGCCCTGTGGTTTAATCATAGTGCGGAGGGGTGAAGAGTCAGCCTTCCACTGGGGAAGCAAGATGTGTAGTCAGGTGTGGCGCTGAGCTCC